GTGAGGCAAATGTGTCCCAATTGAGATATTTGAGATGTGTCCTGGTCTGTTTTCAGGCTGTTTCTGGTTTGAGAATCAACGTTAGCAAGAGTGTGCTTGTCCCTGTAGGGGAGGTTCAGGAGGTGAATTCCCTGGCAGCTGTCCTTGGATGTAGGACGGGTTCCTTCCCTATCTCTTATCTGGGTTTGCCCCTGGGGGTCTCCTCAAGAAGGGCAGGTTGTTAGGATCCAGTTATTGAGCGCTTCGAGAGAAGGTTGGCTGGATGAAAAAAACAATATCTCTCGAAGGGAGGAAAAGTTACTCTAGTGAAGAGTGTCTTTTCCAGCCTACCAACTTATTTCCTCTCCCTGTTCCAGATTCCTACTTCTGCTGTCAGGAGACTTGAGATGATTCAACGTAACTTCCTTGGGGTGGTAGGGGGGAGGAGTTTAAGTATCATCTTGTTCGGTGGGAGCAGGTTTGTAAGCCGTTTAAGTCAGGAGGCCTTGGGATTCGGAGGTTGGCCCCTTTCAACAGGGCCCTTCTTGGCAAATGGCTTTGGAGGTTTGGCAGTGAAAGACATAGACTTTGGAGGAAAATCGTTGCTTGCATGTTTGGGAGGATAGAGGGGGTTGGTCTGCTAGACAGGCTAGATCTGCTATTAGCAGTGGTGTGTGGCAATCTATTGGGAAGGGTTGGGATGAGTTTTCTAAGCATATTAGATTCAGAGTTCGAGAAGGGCGGAGTGTACGATTTTGGGAGGATCCTTGGTGCGAGGAACGTCCTTTGTGTCAACAGTTTCCAAGGTTGTTCAGGATTGCTGTGAATTGCCATGCTTTGGTTGCTGACTGCTATCGCCTTGATAGCGGTAGGTTATCTTGGAATGTTCGGTTCCAGCGAGCTTTCCAGGATTGGGAGCTGTATGATGTCACTGCTTTTTTGGATCTTTTGTATCGTCAGGAGGTGGAAGGCACGGGGGAGGACCTTTTGACTTAGGTGCCTTCTTCGCGGGGGACTTTTCAGGTCCGGTCTTTCTTCTTCTGTCTTTCCAGTTTTCAGTCTCCCTCTTATCCATAGAAAACGGTTTGGCATTCGAAGGCTCCTCTTAGGGTCGCCTTTTTTGCTTGGACTGCTGCTTGGGGCAAGATCCTAACTCTGGACAATTTGAGGAAAAGGAGACAGGTCATTGTTAATCGGTGTTGTCTGTGTATGACCGATGGAGAGTCTGTGGACCACCTCCTCTTGCATTGCCCAGTAGCCTATGACTGTTGGAGTCTTATGTTGGGTCTTTTTAGCGTTCAGTGGGTTATGCCTCAGACCTCACAAGGTCTTATCGATATTTGGAGGGGACAGATGGTGGGGGCTCGAGTTCGTGACTTTTGGAGGGCGACTCCCTATGCATTTGGTGGTGTATATGGAAAGAGCGCAATTGAAGATCCTTTGTTTTGTTCTCTCTTTAGTTGGGGCATGGGGAGAGATTGTTCTTCCGTTGAGGAGTATTTGGAGTTTTTGGGGTCTTTGGATCCCTAGGCTTTTTTGGTCTTTGTTCGTGGTTCTTGTACAGCTCTTGGGATGTGTTCCCCTTTTGAACGCCTTCTAATTCATTTTTACTTATCCAAAAAAAAAAAAAAATCATTAGCTATAGGAGGACCAGACATAGGCACCTCAATAAGAAGCTCCCCCTGAATGGGAACAAACAAAGGAAGGGGGCATTCCCTTTGAATGAACGACAGATTCTCTACCTGTATAGTAGTCTCCCCCAGTAGAGAATCCCGAACAGTGGGAAAAAAAGGAACAGACTCAAAAAATGTAACATCCATGGAGACAAAGCGATGACAAGTGGTAGGGTTGTAACACCGACACCCTTTCTGAGTGGCAAAGTATCCAAGAAAGACACATTGGATTGCCTTAGGGTCCATTTTGTCCTTGCAATGATGAATGTGAACATAACAAACACAATCAAACACTTTCGGAGGGACAGTGAACAAGGCAGTGTGATGGTGTAAGACGGAGAAGGGGGATTGATAACCAAGAACCTTAGAAGGAATGCAATTGATAAGGTATGTAGTTGTTAAGGTTGCATCAGCCCAATAACTTTAGGCACTCCCATCCCAATTAGAAAAGAACGGGTCACCTCCGTAATATGACAGTGTTTTCTTTTAGCTACACCGTTCTGTTGTGTTATATCAACGCGGGAGGTTTGATGGATGATCCCGTTATCAGTAAAAAAAGGAGGCAAGACCACCATACATAAACTCTCCTCCATTATCAGATCGAAGGATTTTGAGGGGACAACCAAACTGAGTACGTACCATCTTATTAATGGTTTTAAAAATGGAATGAACTTCATCTTTGGCTTTCATAAGATAAAACCAAGTATATCAACAAAAGTCATCAACAAACACAACAAAGTAACGAAAACCAAGTAATGAAGTAGTAGATTCAGGACCCCACACATCAGAATGAACAAACTGCAAAGGAGCTGTACTTTTATTAATACTAGTAGGATAAGAAACATGATATTGTTTGACAAGAACGCATGTTTCATAATTTAACTCAAAAGATTCAACAGAAGCAAACTGGGGAAGCACATACTTCAAAACAAGACGAGGTAAATGACCTAGTCTATTATGTCATCGCATTAACAGATCTTTATTGACATTACTATTCTTAACACTAGATTGATTTGCAACATAATAAGAAGTTGGCCTGGTGTTCAGCAAATAAAAGCCATTGTCCTCACGTCCACTTCCAAGCGTCTTTCCCGTATCCAAGTCCTGAAACACACAGTGAAATGGATAAAAAGTTACAGTACAAGTCATGCCTTTTGTAATGTGACTGACAGAAATGAGGAGGTTATTAGTAAACTTTGGGACATGAAGAACAGATGATAAGGTAAGATTAGGAGAGGCAGAAACAGTGCCCTTCCCCGCAATGAAGGTGAAGGTGTCATCAGCCACTCTAACCTTATCCTTACCAGAACATAAACTGTACGAAGAAAAAGCAGATGCCATACTAGTCATGTGACCAATGGCTCCTGAATCAATGATCCAGGGTGGGCCACCAGATAATGTGGAAACCTGATGTATCGAATGAGAGGTATTTGTCTGAGCGAAGTTAAAGGTGGAAATGGAGGCATTTTGAGCTAGTAGATGTCAATGAGCATCAAGTTCAGCCCCGGACAAAGAACTCGGTGGCCCTGAGGAGACATAAGCAGTAGAAGTAGTGTCACGCTCTGCAGTATGTGTCGTAGACAACCCCCTAAATGGACCAGGCCTTGGCCTAGCATTCGCATGTGCAAGAGATGGAGTAGGGCGACCGTGTAGATTCCAGCATGCTTACCTAGTGTGGCGCGTACGCCCACAGTGATCACACCTTAACTTGCTCTTGTCATCATGTTTCCCTCCTTCTGGATGATTGGGCTTGTTCCATTGTTGTGTGGCAAGAGTAGACCTCTTAGGCAATGGTACTTCTAACTCAAGCTTAATGTATCCAGGTGCAGACATAGCCTTCATTCTACTCTCCTTAGCCTGGATATACGAAAACACATCTCTAACAGAAGCAGGGGCTAGATACCTGTCTAACACTTGTACCCTGGCATGCTCGTATCTCGGATGCAGACCACCATAGCACGAAATGTTTTAACATCAGCTGCACACACAAGTATGTAGTCTTGGTAGTGATCTAACTCTTCCATGTAGAGTGTGGTAATATGTAGCAAGAGTTTGGTCTTCCAGCTTGAATCTTGATATATGTTGTTAGAGTTCATACAGTTTTGCAAAATTACCAACCGAGGAATACGTCTCTTCTATAGCCTGCCATAGCTCTTTAGCTGTTTTCACAAACAGAAACCCTTTGTTGATCTGTGATTGCATTGACTGCAACAACCACGTCATAACTAGTGCATTACTTATACCCCACTCTTTGAATTCAGGATCGCTCTTGGAGGGATTCGTTACAGTCCTTTTGATATGGTCGATCATTCTACCACCAGTCATATGCATACGAGTAAATTGAGCCCACTCCATATAGTTTGTCTCATCCAGCCTAACTGTCGTAATACAAAGGCCTAAATGGTGATCACCACAACCTCCCTAGAGTCAAACTTGGGGAAGACCCAGCTTCTTTTGAAGTCACATCTGAGTCAGACATTTTATCAAACAATTTCTGGGTATTAATCCTCAGAAACAAAAACTGCAACAAAATATGTAGAGAACCACCTCTCTAACACACAAACTTCAACTAGAAAGATTACCGTCTTATGAGATGCATAAAAAAGCAACCACACCGTCACCACACAAACCCTAGAAAGCAACAAAGTAGGCCATACCAGAATCGCGAACGACGAAGAAAAAGGCGTTGTTGTAGAACCTCGCGAACGCGAAAAAAAAAACAATCGAGTTGGATCCGCAGTACATGTGGATATGATTAACACTACTTCCTTGCAAACAAATCCCATCTTAGAATCTCTTCAAAACCCTTCACACCCACTAGGTTTACACAAACTTGCCCTAGGGTTTTAAATGCACACCTAGAGCTTTACAAACCATGCTTTGATACCATGTTGACTTTAAAAGATAATCAAATCAAAGAGTAAAGTATAAGAAGAAGAAAAAGAGAAGAAAGAGGATAAGAGAAAAAGAGAGAGAGATGGGGAAAGAGACAAAGAATGAAAGAATACTTTCATCCTTCCACCACATTATATTTATAATAATTAGTTTCAGAAATTACACATAAACCCAACATTATATAAGTAATAACAAATAAGCCCCTGACAACAGTCTCCAATTGTGCGTGTGTGTATTTTGTAAGTACACGGACATTTCCAGCCTCTCATAGGTAAAAAAGTTGCGCTAGTTTGACGGTGTTCAAGTATCCACCAGAAGAAGTATCCTAGACTGATGCAACTCAACATAGTATTACTCAATTTCCCTGCTCGATTTCAGTTTTTGCAAGTTCTTATTATTGGGAAGGCATTCAAACTTACGACAAAGTCAATAAAACTTGAGGGTATACTTCACCTATCAGTTGGACATCAAAAGGACGAAGGCCTAGAACTCTTTTCGAAGCCTCTCTCACAATAGCAAATGCTTCCTGCAAGATAAAAATTGTTTCTTTTAATAAATACATGCCACTGCATTTTCGACAATAAACTGAAAAACTAAAAAAGGACAAGAAAAGCTGCAAGGATTGTTTCTTCTTACTGACTAGGGACTAAAATTACAGAAAACCTAAGTTATCAGTGGATTAAAAGGTACCACTTAATGAACATAAAATTTTACAGGTACCACTGTAAAATAATCTGGGCGCTTTTTGGTTTTCATTGTCAAGCACCCTGATGCCCTAAAGTTCCCCCAACGTGGTGAAGGTGAAACTAAATCAATCAAGTTATGAAATAATTTTCAACCAGAAACCAAAGTTCTCCTTCTTATTCATTCGTGTAGTCAGAAAAGTTTTTTAGAGGGTCCATACCATCAAGCTGAAAATTTCTTTTCTTCTTTTCCAACAGATAATACACAAAGTTGGTTTGAATCCAATCCAGGAGAGGTTTCGATCCCCTTTTTATGATCGGGATTAGTCAGGGATGTTAAAGTGAGTGTGGGGAATACTGAGTGCATACATGTATGTGATATGGCTATATATATATATATATATATATATATATAAAGGAAAGGGGAAAGGGAGGGAAGACTTACAGGTAAAATAGAGTCCAAAGAATCAGCGTGACGAGCGCGTTCCTTCAAGAGGGAAGTCTTCTCCCTCAATTGGGAATCGGACAAGGCTGACATCTGGGTTTCCATCCCGTTGATGAGTCCAACAGTTGCGATGTACTGCTGCCTGGTTGACTCCCCAGTGTCGTTGGTTCCCTTGAATATCCCACCCAAAAGGCCTCCCAAAGATGCCATGGCAGGACTATGACGACCACGACGACGATGATGAAGATCTCTTCCTTCGATTAATTTTAATTTTAATCTAGAAGTGTTTAGGGTTGTGAAATCGAGGTGGTGTTGTTCTCTCCTCCTGGGGGCGGAGGAGGAGGAGGAGGAGTAGGAACCCACCAACCAAGTAGGACTAGGAGGAGGTTTGGTACTAGTATAATTTAGGGGAGAGAGGGAAGAAAATAACGAGGAGGAATCGGAGGAGCAAAACAACTGATGCTTCAGCGCCATTTTTCAGTGCAAGGAGACAGAGAAGATTAATATACTGATGATCTGGACCAAGAATTCCAGAGAAGAACGCAATGCGGATATTTTACTTACTGATAAACAGACAGAGGGCAAGAGGAGGAGGGAGAGAGAAGATGTTAGTTAATAGTATGTTAACATCCTTCGTCTAGACAGATAAGGGGGTGTGAGAATCAGAAAAAAGAGAGCGAGTAAAAGTAGTTATGGATAATATACTTCCACGTGCTTCCTTTTCCTTATATATTAAATACAAACAGTAATGCATACACGCAACTTACATCCTCCGACACGTCCGTCACCGGGTTGTGTCTTATGTTGCGCAACTCCCCAGGTCAACTTATTAAATTTTCTTTGACGTGAAAATGGAGCGAGTAACGATACATTAATTACCAGGCCTACTATATGTGATTGTTCGTTAAATAAAAAAAAAATAGAAATTCTTTATATTTGGCGTTGACCAATCAAATTAGGTGCAACAGACTTTTCACTTCCCTATCCTGATAAGAATAAAATCCTCCGCTTCACCATGTGCCCACTATGTCATGCCACCCAAATACTTTCCAATTCAACTTACCTTCCTAACCTAGTCGTCATGCAGATTGCAATAATAATAAATAATTAATTAAAAAAAAAATTCCACAATCCCAATAGTTCATGCTTCTAATTTATTTATGAAAAATGATTTTATTGACAATTTTAATATCCCAACTAAAAACTGACATAGATAAATATGATATAATTATTTTAAAATTTCAACTTAGGTATTATTACTAGGGCTGCAAGTTGGGCGGGTCCAACCCAGCCTAGTCCTAACCCAACCTCAACCTGAATCGGGTTAGGTTGAGCCAACCCGAATTATACTTAACATGGGTTATAGTCAAAACCCAGTCCGAATATTTTTGGGTCGGTCGGGTCGGGTTGACGGGTTGAGTCTTTAAAAATTTATTTATATTTTTCTTTTGGAAAATATATATATTATATAGATATATATCTATATATTATTAAAAAACAAAAAAAAATTAGGGCAAATCATTTCAGCCTCCCCTGTCTCATTCTCAACTCTCTCTGCAACTTCAAACTACAAAATCTACAAGAATCAGAAGTTCAAAATCCATATATTTCAGATCTATCTGCAAAAATCAAAAGTTCAAAATCCATATATTTCAGATCATTTCAGATTGTTCAAAAAATCAAAACCCATATGTTTCAGTTTCCATCGCCGGCTGTTCCAGTTCGGGCCGTTCGCAAGCTTCAGCCGTCTCAAGCTTGCCCCCCTCTCTCTCTGCAACTGCTAACTTGTATGTGTGGGTTTTGTTTTTATTTTTGGAAGTGACGGCGGCGGCGGCGGCGGATCGACTGAGGACGGCGGCAGAGAGAGAGAGAAAAATAAAGAGAAAGAAGAGAGAGAAAGAGAAAGAGAAAGAAGAGAGAGGGGAGAGAGAAAAAAGAAAAAAGAAAAAAGAAAAAAATTCGGGCAGAAAGAAGAAAGAAGAAAGGGAAAGAAGAGAGAGGAGAGAGAGAAAAAAAAAAAAAAAAAAAAATTCGGGCAGAAAGAAGAAAGAGAAAGAAAAGAGAGGAGAGAGAAAAACCCAACCCGAATTGTCTGGGTTTTGACAAAACCCAACCCGAGTATGAACCCTATTTGTAAATTGTGTGTCCAAATTTCAAAATTTTTAGGTTGGGGTGGGGCTGGGCTGGGCTAACCCGCCCAACTTGCAGCCCTAATCATTATTACTCTTGTTTATTTCCATAAAATATATCATTTTCCCCTTTCTCATCTTTTAAGTTTACCATAAAACCTTTCCTTATCTTTTTAGTTTTCCATAGCCCTATCATATTTTTTTTTTACCTTTCATAACAGGTTTCATGGTACTCAAATATAAGAATCTGATTTGTACAAATCTAGAACAAAAACTACAATGTTTTTACAATTTTTCAATGTTCTGTAATTTGCTTTTAAAACCTTTCCTTATCTTTTTAGTTTTCCATAGCCCTATCATATTTTTTTTTTCCCTTTCATAACAGGTTTCATGATACTCAAATATAAGAATTTGATTTGTACAAATCTAGAACAAAAACTATAATGTTTTTACAATTTTTCGATGTTCTATAATTTTTTTTTAAAAAAAAATTCTTTCCTTGTTTTTTTGTTTCTAGGAGTGAGATAGATCATTAACTTTGATCATTATACCAATTAACAAATGCCTATCAAAAGTAGTAAATGAATATTAATGATCAAAGGCACAATCTTTTATATATAAAGAGGGATACACAATCTAATTATATATAGGATATGCAATTTGAAGTATACTAAAAGACCTGACAGAGATGCAATGTAATATATATATATATATAACAGATACACAATTTGATATACATGGTGATTGAAACTTTAATTGTCAACAAATATACTATATTAGGATAAAACTTTAAAAAATGATTACAATTTTTTGAATAATTAATTACCTTATATTTTAAAATGAGTTCCATTATATTTGACACATAAGTAGCCACATAGACTCGGTAAAGTAGTAGGTTTTTATTTGTGGGGGTAAATAACAAGACTTCTATTTATTTTTTTATACGTTTTCTTTATGCCAAACATCAACCAAAGTTGGTACCCAAAAATAAGATGACATAAAATAGTAATCAATTATCCTCCAGGACTATTAGAATATATTTTTATTATATTATATAATATATTCTAACCTTATATAGGATTACCATATATTGGTTTACCTTGTATAGGATTACCATATACATATATGGTCTATTTGTTCATCACACATAACCCCTCCTATATAATCATGTCTTGTATACATCTTATTTTCACATCAATACAATATACAGAGTTCTCTCTTTTATATTTAACATGGTATCAGAGCTAATTGATCCCATAAGCATTTCATCCGAGAGAAGAATTCATTAATTCGCTGACCTAATTATTGTTTAAGAGTAGAAAGTTGAACCAATAATTAAAATTGGCGAGCCCCATTAGAACCAGAGTAGTGAGAGACAAGCATGTCCCAGATCTCCTTGGTTGTCTAGTAACTCCCAAATTCCATACCAATGGAGGAATTGGATGTGTCGCATAACCATGTGATGATCTTGTGATTGTTACTGTCCCAGTCTTCAACACGTGTGGCATAGGCATCGGATGTCTCTTCTTTGGCTTGAATAGGTGTTATACGATCTCCAGTGACATAAGACCATAGCTTGAGACCTTTTAAAAAACTGCGCATAGATTAACTCCAAAAGGAGTAATTGTCACCATTAAGAATAACGGAAATAGGGTGCGTTACCTCGTTTTGGGCCATTTAGAAATTCCAAATGCAAAAACGGACTATGAATTCGGAATCAGCGCGAAAAGTTGGGTTGGATAGGTATTTTCAGGGAAAAAAAATTATGACACTGCTAATGTGGTGCTAAGGTGGCCGCGATTGCGTGGCATAATGATGACGTGACACTTGCTGACGTGTCACTTGGATGACGTGGCACTGCTGATGTAGCAACCTAACGTAGCTTGCTGACGTGGCTTGCACTCTTGGACCTGACATACCTTGGCGCATGGCAGCACGTCGGAGGAGCGTAACAGTGCGTGGCAGACGGAAAAAGCTGGCTGAACCTTCTGGCGGTACATGGGGGCGCATACAAAGTGTTTTCTGGCAGTTTTTGGTGGCGTTGGGATGATCTGAGTGTGTTCTTTCACCTGGTATGCTCAAAATTGCGAAAGAACTTGTTGAAAACTCAAATTTAACCCCTAACAAGATGTATGCTTGATGAACTTATTGAAAGCCATCAAGTAAAAGAATATATATATATATATATATATATATTTCCATGTTTCCGAACCAACATAGGAACATTCTTCTGACGCAAAGAAATTTCTCGAGTATAGCAGCCAGATTCGACTTTATCAGTTTCTGATGAGTCTTCATGATGATTTTGAACCAGTACGTAGTTAACTGCTCTATCGCTCACCTCTTCCATCACTCGATCAAACTCTCAATGAACTTGTTCGAGAAGAGACACGCTTGCAAACTCGTCATTCTCAGAATCCTATCACTATTTTAGCCACACCATTTTCTGCTCATCAGACAGTGCCATCTCAGTCAGCACCAGCTCGTCCTGCCTTATTTTTCCAACAAAATAGACGCAACAATACCAATCAGTCTAGCTCTATTGGACGTAACAAGAATAATCGCTCTGGTTTTCAGCAATCCAACAACAAAAAGGATTGTTTACGTCTTTACTGTATTTTCTGTCAGCTTCCGGGGCATAACGTTGACTTTTGTCGTACTCGTGCTCGACTCTCCACTACAACTGTGGCCAACACCAAATATCTATCACCACCATCTTCAACACCAGTCAACAACTTTTCTGGCGACTCTACATCTGCCCCATCTGTTTTCTCTATAACTGACCTTGAGGCAGTTCTCAACCAAGTTTTATCTCGATATCTAGGTGCATATTCCACTATTCTTTCTACTATACCAGGTAAACATGGTTATTGGTATTTTGACTCTACTTGCTGCAATCACATGACACCTGATCCTACCTTACTCACATCCCCGACTCCTACTTCTCCCTCTCCTGTCATACACACAGCTGATGGTTCCACTATAGCTATTAGTCGCATAGGAACTATTTCTCAATCTCAGTTATCTGTGTCCCATGTTTGTTTTGTTCAAAATCTTTCTCTTAATCTTTTATCTGTTGAATAATTAACTGAGTTGGGATTGACCATAACATTTTCTTCTAATGATTGTGTTGTACAGAATCCTCAGACAGGACAGATCATTGGGACAAGCCGTAAAATAGGACGACTGTTTGAACTTTCTTCATTACATCTACCTACTACCACTATTTTTGCTGCCTCTACACAATCCACCTCTTTTACTCTTGAGTTATGGCATTCTCGTTTGGGTCATGCGTCATTATCTCGTGTCAAAACCTTTGCATCTACGGGTTTGTTAGGTCAGGTTAAATTTGAGTCTTTTGATTGTATTTCATATCAAGTAGGAAAACAGCCTGCCTTACCATTTAATAAAAGTGAGTTTTTTACTTGTACTCCATTTGATATTATTCATTCTGATGTTTGGGGACCTTCGACTATATCTACTATAGGAGGATCACGATATTTTGTTGTTTTTATTAATGATTTTTCACGATTTACATGGATTTTTTTAATAAAAAAATCGTTCTGAATTACTTAAAATATTTCATGATTTTACTCAAATGATTGCTACTCAGTTTTCCAAACCAATCAAAATATTTCGGTCGATAATGCTCAAGAGTACCGACAACATGAATTTCAAAAAATTCTTCAACGTTACGGTATAATTTTTCACATTTCTTGTACTGGTACATCTCAACAGAATGGTTGAGCTGAATATAAACTTCGACATATTTTAGATTTAACTCGTTCACTTACTCTTTCTACTTCTGTGCCTTCATCTTTTTGGGGTGAAGCATCTCTTACTGATGTATATACCATGAATCGTGTTCCTACACCACTTTTACAAAATCAAACACCCTATGAACGTCTCTATGAAAAACTTCCCGAGTTATCTTAGAGTCTTTGGGTGTGCCTGTTGTATTCTTCTCTAACCTCATGAGCGAAATAAGTTACAACCACGTTCTCAACTTTATTGTTTTCTTGGCTATGGAATTGAACAAAAGGGGTATAGATGTTATGATCCTGTTGATAAACGCCTCAGAATTTTTCATCATGTCATTTCCTGGGAGTATAAACTGTTTCATACATTATCTAAGTTTAGTGGTGTTCATGATCAGGCTTTTCCTCTTCCCCCATTTGACACATCTGCAGATCTCTTCCCTGATTCTCCAGAATCATCTGATATAGTCAACCCTCTGCTAGCTGAGTCCCACTCATCTGTTCAATCCGAGGTTCCTGACAGCGTGCCTACCACACATCTTTGCCTTCATTCCACTCGGGTAAGAAATCCACCTGCACATCTTAGTGATTTTCATTGTTATCATGCTCTTGCTACTTTACATGAACCTCAAACTTTTCGTGAGGCATCTTTTGACCGCATATGGCAGCACGCAATGCAAGAAGGGTTAGATGCACTATCCAAAACTCATACATGGGATCTGGTTGATTTGTTTCCTGGAAAGTCTGTTATAGGATACAAATAGGTTTACAAGATCAAAACTCGTTCAGATAGGTCTGTTGAGTGCTACAAAGCTCGACTAGTTACTAGAGGGTTCACACATGAATATGGCATTGATTTTGAGGAGACATTTGTTCCTGTTGCATGTCTTTCCTTTGTTCGAACTCTTATTGTCGTGGCAGTTTTTCGTCATTGGGGACTTTTTCAGATAGATGTTAAGAATGATTTTCTCAATGGTGATTTACTCGAAGAAGTATACATGCAGCCTCCTCTAGGTTCTCCTCATCATTCTAATAAGGTGTGCAGACTTAGACGTGCCATATATGGTCTCAAACTGGCACCGCGACCTTGGTTTGCCAAATTTAGTCAGACTATCTCTCGCCTTGGCTACTCTGCTAGTCCATATGACCCTGTCTTATTTGTTCAACACACCAATCGAGGTATCATTCTCCTTTTACTTTATGTTGATGATATGATCATTACTGGCGATGATTTGATGGGAATTCAGGAGCTCAAACAATTTCTCAATCATCAATTCGAGATGAAGGATCTTGGACCTCTCAGTTATTTTCTTGGTCTTGAGATAACTACATCTACAGATGATTACTATCTTACTCAGGCGAAATACATATCCGATCTTCTCTCAAAATCAGGTCTCACTGACAGCAAGATTGTTGATACCCCCTTGAGTGCAATACAAGACTTAATCTACATGATGGAGAATCTCTTTGAGATGATACTTTGTATCGCCAATTGGTAGGTAGTCTGGTTTATCTCACTGTCACTCGTCCCGACATCTCTCATGCTGTCCACATAGTTAGTCAGTTCATGACTGCCCCTCGGTCCACTCATTTTGTTGTTGTTCATCGCATCCTTCGTTATCTCAAATGCACTATGTTTCTTCCCAATCATCGCTTATTCTTTGTGCTTATTCAGATGAAGACTTAGCAGGAGATCCTATAGATCGTCGTTCCACCACAGGCTATTGTTTTATTTCTTGGTGATTCACTTATCTCTTGGCGCAGCAAGAAACACATTATAGTTGCACGATTTAGCACAGAAGCTGAATACAAGGCGCTTGCTGATACTACTTCCAAGCTTCTGTGGTTGCGTTGTCTCCTTCAAGACATAGGAGTTTTTTCATCCACTGCCACTCCTATTTATTGTGATAATAGGAGTGCAATCTAGATCGCACATAATGATGTTTTTCATGAGCGCACTAAACATATTGAGATTGACTGTCATTTTGTTCGTCATCATCTTCTTCAGAAAACCTTACAATTGTAGTCCATCACTTCACATGATCAGATCACTGATGTCTTCACCAAATCGCTTCTGTCATGCCGCTTTCAATATCTTATTTCCAAACTCAAGCTGGTTTCATTTAATCCATCTTGATTTTGAAGAAGGCTGTTAGAATATATTAGAATATATTATTACTATATTGTATAATATATTCTGACGTTATATAGGATTACCATATATAGGTTTACCTTGTATAAAATTACCATATGTATAGTTATCATATACATATATGGCTTACTTGTTCATCACACATAACCCCTCTTGTATACATCTTATTTCACATCAATACAATATATAAAATTCTTTCTTTTATATTTAACAAGAACGTTCCATGAAATCAAAATCATATTGTCTTATCCTTTGCGACCAAAACATTCTCTTTTATGCAACTTAAAAAAAAAAAATTAATAATAATAATAAAAAATAAAAAAAATTATTAACAAATATATCTCACAAAGCTTTCTTGTTTAAAAGGAGGAGAAATACAATTTGTTTATGACACCAAAATCGTAGTGTTAATACAACAAAAGAACTAGTCAGTTGAATTTTTAATTTTTTTTAACCAACCAACCAGACAATTTTTAATTTTTTTAAACCAACCAACCAGACGGTTGTCTCTACTAAACCCTCTCTACTCTTTGGTTACAACTTGGCCACTTAAAGGCACAACACAAGACACCCAAATGCCACGAGTCAATCCGGAAAATGTTCTTTGCATAATTAGCCATCAAGCCAATCCGCACAACAAAATCATCCCCCTACACTAATGATGAACTGTAATACCCCCTCATCATTATTATGCTAACTTAAAGAAAGAGAGGATCTAATGTAAACGATGGCCTCAACAAACTGTATGACAGCATAATACGTATCAAGCAGGGACCTACTGCTACGACTTAGCATATGTAAGAAATGGAAATAAAATATGAGAAAAAAGGGGGCTTTTGAAATTGAGTCGCACTAACTGTAAAATGCATGGCAAAAAGATTAAGAAAATAACATTAAAATTGAGGGAAGAAAACGAAGAGGGAGACATCCAATTTGATTGATCCCAATCCATATAAAGGATGAGTTGCATCCCGTAGCCCGTGAGTGTGGGGTGGTGAGCGAAAAAAAAAAAAAAAAAAAAAAATCACTGGAGTAGACGGGAATTTCACAGCCACGAATAGACGCAACTCCATAAAATCCCTTTTCAATGAACATTAGCCGCAAATGATTCACCAGGCTGCTTAGCTTGGTTCAGGTGGCAATACTTTCAAGCTACGCATCCACTCGCAGAAGCTAGGATCGTCAAATTGAAGAAAACTGCTTTTCAGCTTTGTCCTTTGTTCTATAGTCAAAGTTTGAAGCTGAGGGAATCTCGCTTCCTGTAATCACGAATCAAGAAATTTGAATTACCAATCACAAAATCAGTAAGTATTCAAGTTTTATCCAAATGTCAATCAGTAATTCAGAGTACTTCCCAAATCACATAAAACTAAAAATTAAACTGAGGAAAATTAGATTTTAGTGATCAATTCTAAATATAATTGTTCTGCAGTGACCATAAAGTAAAGAAAAGATGAATAGTCTCCAAATATAAAACTTAAATGCTAATAAGTGACCATTCGAGGCTAATTTTGTCCAATCACTTAGTTATTCAATTAAAAATGGTAATGAAATTTATGAGGAGTAAATTACCCCCTACTTGAACCCTAAGGAAACCTAAAAAAATCCATCTTTTAACAGCAAACCCTAGCCTCCATTGCCCCTCTCTTTCACCTGCTATATCCATCTTCTAACACCAAACCCTAGACTCCATTGCCACTCTTTCGCCAGCTATGTTCAGTTTGCACCAGTTTTGTTTTGCATTTACAAAGACTGAAATTACCAAGTTCCAATGTTTTTGAAATCAAGGAGATTGCACTTTATAAGCAGAGTTTCAATACTTCTCAAGAACAAATCATTTTTTAACTTTTACAACGAAAGAAAAACAATCTTCATTCACAATTTTTAATTTCCAGGACTAACTTACTAGTGCTGGAAGGCAGAAGCTCCATTACACCGGATGATAGCTTTTAATGTATCACTTTTGTCTACCATAGTTGCACTTTACAAAAAAAAAAAAAAACCCAATAACCTACTTATTTCGCATAACAAAAAATTCTTCTATGGTTTATGTGAGTACAGAAATTATTGTTTTATTACTAATACTTAAATTACTATAATACATTAAGCTTGATATAATTAATAAAAGCATAGGTAAGGAATTTATGAAAGTTATTCAAGAAAAAATAATTATGAAGTTGACTGAAAGACATAGACAACCTTTGGAACCATTGCTAACCTAATCTTGATTTTTCGGCAGAGGAGTATTAAATTTGTTATTGTTAGGAAAATAGTTTATATATTGGCATATTCCTCATCAAAACTAGAGTTAGTTTGTTATTGTAATTGTTGAGTCAAACAGAGTACTTCAGCAGAAATAAGACAAACATGACAAGTCAAGCACATCTAAGCTTTGTTGAATTAAGACACAGAATTCAGTAAAGACGCTGAAAGAATTGACAGATGTTTCAAGAGTATCTTGAGTTAAGTCAGAATCTGCAGCTATGACAAGACAGAGATATTCTACATAAACATATCAATGAGCAGAATGGTGAAATCAACATATTTAATCACTTGACTAGGATTCAGGTAATGACCTAGCCTGACCTTAGGATTGGTTATGGGCTGGGTGAGGAAGCATGTTCATTAACTTTTCTAGATATGCATATAATGCTCTTAGAATCAAGTCTTAAATTGTCATAACTTACTTGATCATCTTAGGCATCTAGAGAAGACTGTGTTTCATGCATGCTTAATACTTTTAGAAGTCATTAGGCATAGTAGGTGGTGCATATGAACTAGACGATCGTATCTTTTGTATGCGTCTAAAACTCACTTACTTATACACACACACACACACATATAGTACTTTGGTATCAATAAAAATTAGCCTTTACATGATAAAGATATATATGTTTGTGTGTTTTAAGGTACCATAAGCTTTTTCATATACGTGGACATATATATATATACATTTCGTATTTCTTGAATACTCACAAGAATTAAGTTCCATTACATGAGATAAGACATATACACATGCTTCATGTCTACAAGTTTTTTAAACTTATTTTTAAGATATATATGCGCGCGCGCGCTACATGATTACAAGTTTTTCTAAACTTAGTTTAAATTATGACTTATGCATCAAAAAAATTTCAAAACATGCATATATGCTCATATAGATATGTTTCATAAGCTTCTACAACTTATTTGAACTTTATTTATGCATGGATAAGCTTTTCGAAACTTGAAATTGCAAGAAACCTTCATTTATTTATTTATGAGTAAAGTGTTGTTGTCTCGATCGATCGACATAAGTTTTTTTTTTTGATAAGTAATAATTGAAATTAAAAGGCGTTCAATAGGGGAATGCATCCCTAATACAAAAGTGGAACCGGGGTTTGAGGCCCCAAAAAAGCCAAAAAAATAATTAAATATTCTGAAGAGGAACAGGACTTCCTTTTCACATAACTGAAAAGAGAGCTTATGATATGAAGTTTCAGAATCGCCATGGACGATTCTTTCCCTTCGAACATTCTACTATTCCTCTCCTTCCAAATGCACCACCAGACACAATGTGGTACAACTCTCCAATTATCGCGAACAACACTACGCACAGGACATCCTCTCCAAATAAGAATCAAATCCTTAGGATAACGAGGCATAACCCAACGCATACCAAACAGACAAAAAATAAGATTCCAACAATCCCTCGCCACAAGACAATGCATGAGAATATGAGCAACTGACTCACCATCTTGTTTGCAAAGGCAACACTAGTTAATAAGACAGTAACCCCTTTTCCTTAGATTATCAATCGTCAGGATCTTACCCCCATACAGCGGTCCAAACAAAGAATGCCACCCTAGTTGGAGCCATAGAGCGCCAGATAGTCTTCCACGAAAAATCAAAAAGACATAAGAATAAGGATCGAACTTCAAAGCGACCATAGGAAGAGGGAATCTATGTCATATCATCACAACCTCTGCCAACTGTTTACTGTCATACAATAGATCTAGAAAAACACATGCCTCGTCCACCTCCCAATCCTGAAAAGAGCGTCGAAGTCGAAATTGCACGTCCCGCGTAATCCCACTACTATCAAGCCAATAACAGTCTGCTACGTAGGCATGTCTATCAACTGCAATACTGTATAATCTAGGGAATAAGCAAAATAAAGGCCGGTCTCCACACCAAAGATCCTCCCAAAAGCGTACACACCTGCCATCACGAACTTTGAATCTGATATGAGTGGAAAAAGCATCCCATCCCTTCCGAATGAATTTCCACGCTCCTACTCCTCCCACGAGAGAGACTGGACGAGTAGACCAACCACCGCTCTCTTCCCCATATCGGCATGAAACAAGCCTTCGCCAAAGGCGATGTCTTTCCCTCCCATACCTCCACATCCATTTTCCTAAAAGAGCTTGGTTAAAGGGGACTAGTCTTCTGATACCAAGACCACCAAACTTCATTGGCTTGCAGACTCGTTCCCAATTGACAAGGTGCGACATAAGTTCCCACTTCAATCGACCAAGTGGTTTCTAAAGCAACCGAGAGCATGTAAACTTTCGATCAAAAATCAATCATCTTTATCGATCGAAATCATGGCAACTCAATCGAAGAAAATCGAATAAATCTTGATCGAACTTGAAGACACTTCGATCGATTGAAATCACACCAGTTCGATCGACGTAAATGTCAGTCGTGAGGAAACTTTCTTTAATGTGATTTTTCCTACATGGTATGATCTAAATACTTGGAGAACAAGTAGTATGCTTGGAGGACAAGTATAGGAGCTTTATAAAAAGGCTTAGGTCAAACATTAAAGACGGGGGATTGGAATTGTATTTATCATCTAGCACTCATTCTTAGGTTCTTCATATTCTTCATCATATGTTAAAGTGAGTATTTTAGAATCTCTTGGAGGCACTTCATGTATTTATATTATACAGAGAGATTCTGAACTGGAGAGTGGGGTTTTCATTATCATATCTTTTAACTCTTGGGTAGATAAGTTTTGTTTATTTTTCAATTTAGAAAACATATAGTTATATATGTGTTGCATGATTGAATATCAACTAAAAAGCCGGATTCTACAACAACCGACATTTAAAGGCGAGAAGCGAAAGGTTGGGATTGAAACAGACAAGCGGCTGCTATAAACAATTCGGGTCGAAACTCAGTTCTGAGAAAGAAGGATGAGTATGGGATTATTCTTTCATCCAAGGAGTAAAGCTGTGCGGTAGACAATCTGGATTGAAACAGGCTCGTGAGTTGCGATAAATACAACTGATTAACTTTAAGCAGATTAAAGAAGATTCAAGTTGAGAAAGTTGTGCATGGTGGCCCTGGTGGGATTGATTTGGATTAATGGGATCATGTACCGGTTAGATGGAACGGCTAGAGGATACCTGGAGACTTTTTGGAGTGCTTTAGTACGACGTTGGATGAGTGAACGAGCATTGACGGTTTTTTATCTTGCTGAGTTTGGAGGTTAGCAAGTGTTCATCGAGTTGAACTGAACTGGTTGTAATCTCCGTTTACTTTACTTTATTTTTGTTTTTATTTGCATCTATTATATTTGTGAGTTGGATATGCATGATTAATCATTAATTTCACAAATATTCTAGAGAAGCAAATTGAGATCATATAAGAGTGCTTTTAAAAGAGGAGTTTAAAAGCAAATCAAAATTTGTTTAATTTATTTCAAAATTGTCCAAAGACATTCATAAGACCTAGTCAACAACCCCAACACCCCCCCCCCCCCCCGGGCGGGCCCTGGCCCCTTTTCTAGTTCTAAACAGATCGGATGGTCTTGCTGTGTACTTGATTGTTACTGTATTGTCTCAGTCAAGTCCTCTTCAATTAATGTCGCTCTCCGAGTTAATTGATAAAACGCACTTTCAGTTATAAAAATCAAGTTTAATGTACAAGATAATATTTGTCAATTTATAAAATAATTTATCATAAGAAGTGCAATTAGGGAATGTTATGACAAACGCAACAAACCCATGATAGAACCAAGAATCACGACAAAAAAGTAAATGCACCACACAAAGAACACAAAGATTTATACATGGTCCGGCAACAGCCTACTTCCATGGTTAAGATCCAGCAAAAGTTTTCACTATGTGTAAAATTGGAGATTACAAGTTTTTAGCCTCTCACTCTGTTTCTGAACAAATTTCAAAGTCTCTCTCTTCCTACACCCCAAACCCTAAGCGCCCTTATATATTTGGCTAGAAGAGACTAATTAGGGTCCACGACCACCGACACCAAATTCGGGCCACAACATCACAGGGAATATATCATCAAATGGTCGCTTATTAGCAATCAAGTTTTATATTTGGTAACTATTAATCTTTTCTTTACTTTACGGTCACTGTAAAGCAATTATTTATAGATTTGGTCAATAAAATCTTTTTTTTATTTTTATTTTTAAGTAAAAATGTATTAGAAAGCGTCAAAAGGGGCACGCATCCTAAAAGCTACACAAAGGCCACAAGGGACCCTAAGGTCCCAAAGAGCCCAAAAAAACTAACAAAATCTAATTTTCCCATTAAACTAATTGGTTAAAGAGGCATTTCACTTTTCCTTCCTGGTTACCTGCTCATATGGAGGATCCTTGTGTGCTGGTATCAGCCGAGAAACAAAATATCGAGCCTGAGAGCTCCCCTCCTATCACAAACCAGACAAAAAATATTTCATTTTAAATTCTTTTGGGACCAATAAAAGGACAAAGCATTCCAGAAGTAGAAAGGAACAAACTTTGAATGCAAGTATTCGAGGAGCCGGAAACCGCAATTCACTAAGCTCTTCAGCCAATGTTCTACAAGCTGCTAAAGCTGCTGCACTTTTTCCTTCCTGGGCAGCAAGTTCAGCACCCTGAATACCACCAATAAATAATTTTAATAAAAAATTATAAATGAATAAAGATGGAACAAAAAGGGAAAGTAAAAAATGTATATTCTAAAAGGGAAAAGTTGGATCTTCAAACACAAGCAGGACACAAAAATACTGAAATGCTTCAAAAGGGCTTGGTATAAATGAAATACTGAAATGTACTGATTTCCCCAATCCAGAACTAAATTTTTAACTATCACAGATATTGTATTCGGTACCCTGATCATGGTTGATAGAGTTCCCAGCTTTTGAAAGGAAAAAAGAATGGGTGTGCTCCTCATGGATGGAAGGAGTTTCTCCAGCTTGGAAAATATATTATGTTTTATTGTTTTATACTCGCACTCCCATGCAACACAACCCCCACCCCCGCTCAAATATGGTAACATATAAAGAAAAAAAATCGTCAGAGGCACCGGTATGGACTAAATTTATTCCTCTGACCCAAGTGGGCTATCATTAAAAAGAATGATTAATAAAGAAAAGGATTATGAAAATTGTAATAACGTCCACACAAATACTATGTAATCTTCATTTCTTTAGTGACACGTGAGTTATGCACTTGTTGCATTAATAATATGAAAAGAAAGAAGAACTGTTGGTTCTGCAAGCCACTGGCTATGTCACAAGTTACATTTTCTATTAAATGGCTAAAAAAAGTCATGACTACCTCTTTCATAATTATATATTTAAATACGAGAGTTTTGGATTGATTGTTGGTAAAATCCCAATCAGAAAAGCTTGCACACTCACTCAATCAAAATAGCGAATCAAGTCCACAAGAGTTTTTGCTTAGGTAGTAAAAACTAAAAATCACACGAACAGACTGCCTGTAACAGATAATAATCATAGTCAAACATGCTTTAACAGTTTGAGAGCATTGTGTTCTTACACCAACTTGAGAACAATGGCTATCAAAAGATTTTGTTACTCAGAATATTCAGTGCCCTATCTAGAAGCTAGCTCAATGTATTTGCTTAGATGTATAATTTCTGACAAGTAACAACATATGTTACACCCGCCACCATATTATTAAATAATGAAAACAGAGACACATTCAAGCATAGTTATGCTCAACATTCGTAATCACATAAATTTCAAATTCTTCAGTTTTCAACAAAGATAAGACCTTTTGTCTTATGGAGGGTATCAAGTCAACTACATATATAAATTAACAGAGAACTAAAATATCCAGTATAGTTCCATGTAAATCAACACCAAAGTATCCAAAAAAAAGTATAGACAGCGTCTTCAATTAGTGAACTTCAGATGATTCTAAGTTGTGGTGCAAGCATTAGCTGCATTACATGAAAATTCATTTACTAGGTCCTTATGTTTCACAATCTCATTAAGCTGCATTGCCAACACACTGACAATGAACTGCAATGATACAACATAACCCAACTATATTGCAGAACCAAACAGCCTGCAGACGTAAACGCCTCTAAGTTTATCCTTAGTCAAGCTATCAAGACTCGAGAGACAATTACCTATATAGCTTTAATTATATGTACGCACAAACTGAATTGAAATTTCCCCTTCATGTGTGACACACACAATATAGAGTATGAGTGATATGAGTTCTGAATACTAAGTTTTAATATGTTCTTCTTAAGTTTTTTTTATGGGAAAGGTATTTTGTAGAGTTGGTTGCTATGGTGACTTCTGAATATAGGCTCACTTATGTACTTCGGGAGAGGTTTGGTAATCTAGTAGGATTAAATAAAGGTGAAGTAATTTAGGTCACCAAGATTACATTACCACTACGTTCTCTTGCCCACAAAGTTACCTTAGTTAATAAGCCATGGACCTCCATACCAAGTGATGTATTGACCTGTCTTGGAGCATAAAAGGTCATTATGCAATATGGTCATTAAACAAGAGTGGGGAGGAGTAGTTAATAAGCTTGTCCACAATAGAAAGAAATGTCTGACTTATTTTGGAGCATAAAAGGTCATTTACCCAATATGGTCTTATTAATCAATAGTGCTAGGAAGAGCAGACCATGTATAGACCTAACCTTCGGCAAAATGTCTACAAAGGGGCTATCCTAAGGCACAATGGAAAGAATAAATCTTCTAAAGCCATTCCTTGTGATGTGTGATTCATCTTCCTCAGGCATCAGTAATTGAGAGCTAGGTGTAATTGCCTAAGCTTTTCTCTCCCATTTAAAATACAAGGTGTCATATTCTAAACATTCACTATTGTTTTGGTGCTGAACATACAAGAATCCTACATCAATTAAACTTTCACATATCCAAGAAATATTTATGTCAAGGCATGTAGAAGCTCCACCAAAGTCAGCTATTCAAAACCCTACCTAGCCATCTTTAAGATTTTAACTCACTACAACTGACAATAGATTATAACGTCAACTGTGTTAAGACAACTACAATACAAATGATGATCAACAAATCAATGATGACGTCACATGGTCAAATTAAAGCCCCAATTAGTTCACAATTTTAGGAAAAAAAAATTGAACAAACAAAATAGAAAATATTCCCCTGAAAAGCAGTAACCAAAAGCTTAACGAAATACATTTTAAAAAAAATGGACAAAGGCCAAGACCTTGATGCTACCGAGTGGTGACAACGGCCCAAAGCAGGGCTTGATGGAAATGGCGAAGGAAAAAGGTTGGTGATGGTGGCGATGACGTAAAAGGTAGTGGTTTGGGATGCTAATCATGGTCTTTACAAGGGGGTGGCTTAGACAAGTATAGATTGCCAAAGTCAGCAAAGCTAAAACAAAGTATCGAGTGTGGGGTTGGGCTTATGGTCAACTTGGAACTTTCCTTGGGGAGGCCTCTCAGTTAAACTACATAATGAAATGATTATTAACATAAACCTGCTAACATCAGTGTCATAACAACAATATAACGAAACAATGACTAGTGAACCACTAGCAAGGGGATAGTGGTGGTGAGGTGGAGGAAATGCTTATGATAACATCTGCAGTAGGGGTGGCAATTGGGTGGGTTTGGGCGGGTTTTGAATGGCTCAGTAACCCATTTATGGTGGGCTATAAATGGGTTGGGTGTTCAATGGGCGAGTCAACCCACACCCAACCCAATGACCCGAATATTTTTAAACACAAGATGTCAAAATATATACATATATATATATATATATATAGTGTTGTTTTTGGAACAATTTCTAAAAATGAAAATACATATCGTGTGTGTGTGTGTGTATATATATATATATATTTTTTTTCAAAAAGTCAGAACTCTTTTACTGCCAGTAACATTAATAATATAAATATTTTGTTAAAAAAGGCCAGTAATATTAATAATATATATATTTTGTAATAAAATGAACTTTGACTAGTTTGTGGTAAAAATTTTGTAATTTATTTTCTGAATGAGAAGAGAGAGAAAGGGCAAAAACTAAAAATAATAAAAAATGGAAAGAGAGAGGACTCCTTGCAGTGGGCTTGAGTTAGTTCAGCTATGGCCTGTCAAATTACAAGATATGGGGCTATCAAATAATGAGTATATTAAGGAAGAATACGAAACAAACTTAATTTTTCATATTTTACCAACACAAAATAGGTTTGAATCAGCCCAGGCCCTTAACATAGAGTCAGGGATGGACCTATGTGCGGCGCGGGGGGGGAAGAATTTTTTTCTTTTTTACTATATACCATGCTATTTTTTTCTTTTTTCAATATATACCCATAAAATATTGCTAATTCGCCCCCCCCCCCCCCCCCCCCCCCCCGAAATTATTACAAAATTTTAGTCTTGCCCCCCCTACCTAAAGTTCTGGGTCCGGCCCTACATAGAGTGCTAAGTGCTAACAAGGACACAAGTGGGGAGGAGAGAGAATAAGAGGTGAGAGAGAGTAACGGAGGAGAGATAATATGGAGGAGAGAGAGAAAACGAGAGGAGAGAGAAAATACAGACGAGAGAGAAGTGGGAGAGAGAGAAACGGAGGAGAGAGAATATGAGAGCAGAGAGAAACGCAGGAGAGTGAATATAAGCAGAGAGAGAGAAACGCAGGAGAGTGAATATAAGCAGAGAGAGAGAAAGCAGGAGAGAGAGTACGAGCAGAGAGAAAATCCAAGCAGAGGGGGGGGGGAAAAAAAAAAGAAACAGAGAAGAGGGTGAATTATTTATTTTATTACTTTTTTTTTTTTTTTTTGGAAAAGATCATGTCCTGTGGGTTGGGAGTGGGTACCCACTCTTACCCCACTTATAACCCACTAAATATATTACCCATTAATGATTGACCAGACCTGCTCAACTAAACTAGTCACCCAATAACCTTTAATTTTTTGGCGGGTTTGGACGGGTAATTGGGTTTGGGTATATTTTTCCGGCCCTAATCTGCAGTAATGGTGATGGTCATAGTGTTAATACTTTGTTGTAGTGGTGAGACCTAAGTCATTGCAGCAAGTCCTACAGCGAACGGGGGAGAGTGAGAGAGGGAACGAGCAAGCGTTGGAGTCTAAAACTTTTTAAGAGATGGAGCAGGAGCATCTTTAGAGCATTTATGTATTAAGTTTACGTTTACGTACTTGTATCATCATAATTGTTAATCTGTATAATTTATAAAATAAAATAAAATAAGTGTGCAGTTCAAATTGATACATGAATAGTGGGTATGTGATGGTTCAGTGGAATAGAAGTGGCTTTTCATTTGGTAGTCTCAAGTTCAAATGATGGATCCCTCATTTCTGTGTTTTAATTTAATAAGCAAAGTGCGCAAATTTGTATTCACAGTTCTTGGCAAGGCAGAGTCCTTGTACAGCAGCTATTAGCAAGCCTTCAAGTTAAGCATACAAATGTCAGCATCACCGTCTTTAGTATTAATCCGCTGGATGCCAACATTCAATTTGCGAATTCAAAATTGAGTGCGCAAATTGACCATCTTTCCGCCCCCAAAACGCTGATCCCCATTACAAGCTATAGAACATCTATAGTTTAGAGGATAGTGTGACTATCTCACCGGTGGCAGCAATGTACTCATGTTAGTGGAGCGGCTATCAATGTTAGAGGCAATTGAAGTATGGAAGCAGTAATGACAGTGATGACATGGATTGTTATGGTGTAGGTAGGGTTAAAATAACGACCATTATGTACCACGAGAGGGCAATACCATTACGGGGTAACATATAGGCCACGTTAAATTTTACATCTACAACTGCCATCAACGAGGTACTAGTGTATAACAACCTCTATCAGTCTGTAATGGCAATATTAGACCTTGGATCATGTGTTGTATCTTTGTCATTTGTTTCACTTCTTTTTTTTTCAACAATTTCAGTATCTAAATTCTAAACCCTCCAAAAAACATACCACAATCCTTAATTCTCTAAACTTATAACATAAGATCTGAACTTAGATCTTTAAGAAGAGCTCCTAACAATTTATTCAATTGATAAGTTCTAATTTTTTAATTCTTAATATTTCATCTTTTAATTCATATAGTATACATCTTTGTGATGTTGTGGTCCGAATTTTTGTTTGGGCTTGGACCGCATTGCAACCCAGTTGACCCGAAAAGTGAGCTCTGTGTGGGAAAAAATTTTGATCCATGTTTTTTTACTTGCAGGTCATGGACCCCGTTTAATGCTTTCTTGTAGCCCGATATATAAGGGCGTTAAGGGTTTGGAGTGGGATAGAGAGACACTGAAAATCACAGAAAAGAGAGACTGAGTGAGAGTGAGAGTCAGAGCGAGAGCTAGGTTTTGGGGGGCTGAAACTTGTAATCTCCTAAGTTCGCATAGCAAAATCTTGCACCAGATCTTCACCGTGGATATAGGTACAACTAGTGCCGAAACACATAAATCTTTGTGTTCTTTGTGTGGTATGTTTAATTTTCTGTCAAGATTCATGATTCGTGGTTTGTTCTTGGTTGTCGACGTTTGCCGTAACAATCTCACATAAATTTGTTATAATTATTTGGCGGATCATGTTCGGATCTGCAAAACTACCGTTTTACTTTCAATTTCCATGAAGAGGTAAGCTTTATATATATATATAGCTACTTATTTTATGATTAATGACTGTATGTTGTAAACTTTAAAATTGATTATGTGTTTCATTATTTCATGATTTGATATTAAGATTCTCTTAACTCTAAACATGTAAATGAACTATTCATTATTAAATAGTAAGTAGTAGTGATGCAGTATGCAAAAGAGTTCTGAGCCTCTGATAAATTGATGGAGATCATGATGGTTTCCAGACTCCCATGAATCATGGCATCTAAATGTAGGGTTCTTGTTTCTAGTTTTTAGGATTGCTTCTTTTACTAACGGTTTGCCTAGGGTTTGCCTATATCAAGTTTTGAATGAGTCGAGCCTAAGTTATATCTCCAACCATACTGCTGCTTCTTGATCCATCAATAGTTGAAGACAATAGCAGCAGCGAAGACTTTGATGGCTGGACATCGATGGTTTTGCAACAATGATGGATGGGCAAGGTGTTAGGGTTTTTGGGCTGATGGAAGTCAACAAGGCAGGCAGTGTGTGTCGTTTATTTTGGTTTATGTAATTTTACAGCAAGAATTGAGAGTTCCTCTACGTCCACTTTTATTGGCCGGATCAGGGTTCAAAACTAATGGAACTCATTAATGAAACTTAAAAAGGAATTTCAGAAAAAGAATTGGGATGTCTATATATGTATATTTATTTTTATTTTTTTACAAGTAAAAGTGTATTAGAAAGCATTCAAAAGGGCATCCCAAGAGCGATACAAATACCGAAGCCCCAAAAAACCCACGATTTCATCTAAAGATATAAAATTTCTCTCCATCACCCAACTAAAAAGAGGTCTATATATGTATATTTATATAAAACAACAATAAAATGAGGAGATGGAATACTTTTAAAATTCATGTGTCATAGACGGATCTTTATTCTATTTAAAATAATAATAATAAGGGAGGCGCAGTTTTATTGCATAGTTATAATTTAAAAAATAAATGTTTTAACAAAACGACACCATTCGGTAAATTTGCATCACCACAAATGGTGATGTAAAACTGTATCCTGAAGCAGATATTTTCGACATTAGGGGGTTAGCTGCAAAAGAATGATAGTTCAAGGGAGTTTTTTTCACTTTTAACTATTATTAGTGTCTACTACATTGAAATCACTTCAACGATTAATACCTTCAATTATATAATAACTATTTTTTCAAACTGACAATAACCAATTCAACCATATTAAACTCAATTTTAAAATTCAATAATGATGTTAAATCATGTCAAATCATTTATATAAATTCAGATAAATCCAAATTTAAGAGATTTAGGGATTAAAAATGTGTACCAATACATTTAAGTAAATTGTGCAAGGGGAAAAAAAGGTTCATTTTTCTAATAGTTGCATTCGTTGCATCAAGTCTGCTACAACCTACGTCCATGTTCTCAAAATATACACTGTTACCACAGCCAGAACCATTATTTAGAACCCTGTGTGGCACGATGACCTGGTGGTTCAGAGAAGAGACAATTTTTGCTTCAACTAAAAGGAGTTCTCTTTTATATGTGTTTCCAAAGTTAAGTATTTCAAGGTACACTGCCAAACATGGGCATTTTTTATTTTCTTGATCTTTAAATTCATGAAAACAAGGTTCTGGAGGGCTATGTAGTCCTACTCCAAAAGAGAGTCCAAGTGTGCACAATCTATGAGCAACTGGAAAGAAAAGCAAAATAATAAAAAGATATGCAACAATTACCCAACAAAACATGTCATACTAACATAGAAAAAAGAGGTGAACCAAATCTCTCCTCCCCAAAGGGGAGGTGAGAGGTTCGAGCCCCAAGCGGGACAAAATTGTGTGCATGTGATTTGTTGAACTAACCAGGAAAAAAAAAAAAGGGTGAGCTAAGTGGCATACCAACCAAATGAAGATATCTGTACCATGGTCAAGAACAACTGCTGCATCAGACTGCATAGCAAGATCATGAGCTGGTAGTTCCTCAAAAGTACCACCTTCTCGATGCATTAGACACCGAGGTGCAACCATGCGAAGAGATAGATCAAATGATGCATTCAAAAACACATTCCGTAATATAGACCTCTCATCTTCATGACCAACAATGCTTCCCAAAAGTGGACCCCTTCTGAGATGGAATAAGAGCTCCGGCAATAAAGGTAGCTCCTTGGGGAAACGATAAAGTTTCGACTTTGGCATTTGGGAGCCCAATTTTGAAGCAATGTCTTTCACCCTTTCATCTACTGTTGCTCGCATGTCAATTGCATCGGAAAAGTTTTTGGCTCGCAAAAGGGTCCTCTTGGCAATGAGAACAGCAGCCACTTCATCTTGAACAAACTCAAGATATGCTGAGAGATTATCCACAGTGGGCAATCGGACAGTAATCACTCTCGAGATATCAGCTTGATATACATTTGAATATTGGAATAAAAACTGGAAAAATACATAATCACTCTTAATGTCTCCTCTTATTTCCATGGAGAGTGAAAAGCTCTGAGTTTCTTCAACACTTAGCATTTGTATAGACAGAGACATATCATTTTTAAAAGTTTCAAGACTGTCTACATGTGCCTCCTCACCAGGGCCTACAACTTGGGCTATGAAGATACTATCAGAACAACGTACTTCCAACAAACCATGGGAACCTGCCGCCCTAGTAGATGCCCTCTGCAAGTTCACACCAAAGGCTTCTCCAAAGTCATCATGAAGTATTAGGACCCCTCCAGAAGCTTTTGCAAGAGGTTGCAAAACAGGAACTCTTACCGGGCAAGTTCCAGCACACAGAATATCAACCACTGTACTGTGTCGATAAGCCTCACGACCAAGATTCTCCATCCGCTTCAAAGCTGTTTTCTCCAAATGAGGATAGTTTGGATGAGTGAATGAATGAGGAACTGAACCAGGGCCATAGGTATTTGGTCCTCCGGCACAGACAATTATTCTGCTATTGCCACCAGATCTTTTAACCACCCCACGTGACATTTCTGCTGATGGCCCTTGAATTATAGCTAGAGCAACCTCCACTGCTGTACCCAGGCAACGGTCTCTAGAAGCTTCGGGAATATTCAGTTTGTATGGCCTCAACGACGAAAAGATGGAGTGTGCAACAGGTAGCGACGCATGAACTGGTGACAAGTATATCCCAGTTCCATAAATCAATGCTTTCAAGGACTCCTGAGATGGTGATTTATTACCAGGTAACACATCAGCGGAAGCAATTGATTCCTCCGAAAAATCATGGACCGATACCGTGCGGCCATACAATACAATTCCAATTCTCGTAGTCGGAGGTAGTGAATCTACAAATGCATGCAAGGAGCCCTGTAAATGCTGGAGGTGTGGTTCATCTAAACATTCATCTATTACAAGAACAATGGGAGCTGATACTCTCGAGTCAGAGACTGGAATAAACCCAGGTCTCTTGTTTCCAGTTTGGACATAATCAACCAAAGAAGATGACAGTTCTGGAAGATTACGAAGCTCCTCCCTGCTGGTAGCTATGTATTCACCTTCACTTCCATTCAAATTCCGGCAAATTACACATTGCCACTGTCCCGAACCAAGTAAGATGCTGCAATAGAGATTTGCAAAAGCTCCACAATTTTGGCAGCGATGGGGATTGCGTTGTATTATCTGAGGACCCGGTGAGATCTCCCTTCCAGGGGAAACCAATGCCCCAAACCCCAAACTTGGTATGTTTGCTAATTTCTTTTGTTTCAGTACCTATAGAACAAAACAGGCACAAAGGAAAAACAAGCATATTGTAACAAAAGGGAAAATGAAAAAATTCCAAAGATAAGTAGGCAACTGATCTTTAGCATTAGTAAAACGTACATGAATTAGACTGACAAGGCATGCAAAAACAGGTGAGATGAAATAACAACAGACAATATAACAACCATAATAGACTGTGAGACGATGAAAGTTAACAAACAGGGGGGAGGAATGCAACCAACCCACTAAGGGCCTGTTTGATGCTACTGTTATTATTATTTTTTATTTTTTTTTCGTGGAGAGGGAAAGAAAATAAACAACACGCCGAGAACAAAAGCTTTTGAAAAAATGTACTCAAAAAGTATTTCGTGCTCACAAGAATTATGTTACGTCAAAAAAATTGAGTAGAACCCAAGAAAGGCTGCAATAAATAAATGTTGGACGTACTAAATTTTGATTGAATACAAAACCAAAGAGGCCCTAGAAAACCGTGTGTGTGTGTGTGTGAGTGAGAGAGAGAGATAGAGCGAGATATAAACCTTATGAGCTGAGAATAGAACGCAGGGTGATTCCCCTACTGGTAACCATTCCTCTGTAGCCTCGGAAACTTGGTGTTGCAACTCGGCGGAGCCGTTGGAAAAATGGGGAGGCGAAGACGTTGGCAGAGAAGAGCCAGAAGAGAAAGCAACGGGCTGAGGAGTTGCCGGAGAAGTTCGAAATGGGACAGCGGCAGGTTGAAGCGGAGAATAAAACACAGGAGGCCCAGGAGGAGTGCTCAAATGAGGAACGGGACCTGCAGTTCTAATACCATTTACTGGTGAGGGAAAATTCGGGGTCTTGATAGATGGGGAAGGAATCAGCTGATGATCTACAGTTGGTGTTGGCGAAGGAAGTCTGGGACCTGAGGCTGAGGGCGAAGGTAAAAGAGGAGGAGGAAGGTTCAACTTTGTCTCTGTGTCCGGGGGGTTTGAGGGGGTGAGGGAAACAGAATATCCAAACGAAGGTTGTGGTGGATTAGCCATTGGGGGAGGATTCAGATTAAACTCAGACAGAGTCCGATATCAGGCTTTTCACAGAAACCCCAAGAACAATTCAAACCCAGAACCAATTATTATTATGGAAGATAATATGACGACGACGACGACGACGATACAAAGTGATTTGATTTATTCTCAATCAAGATATGACAAAAGAAAAACGATAACAATCCCCAATAAAATTGTTGAAAGAGTTTATGAACAACAGCGGCATGGCATTGGCATTACCCCTAATATGATCTCAATCTAACCTTAAGAGGATCGTCGAAGATCATTGATAAAGTGAAACCCCAGACCAAGCTCAAGATTTCCAGCGTTGGCTCAAGAAATTGATAGAGGAACCTTCCCCCAAAACAAACCACCAAGAATTCACCTTTCAGTGTCCCAAATATAGAAAATTAAAAATACGATTTCGATCGAACCCCGAATTACAATTCCAAAACGAGGAATATATCAAGAATATAATAGAAATTCCCGTCACGGTGCATTGCAAGTGAAAAAGAAAGAGAGATCTAGGGCTTATTTGCGCACAGACAAAAAAAGAACCATCAAATTCAAGCGAGAGGGAAGGGAGGTAGATTTTTACTACTAGGATTGCTAGATATGACAAAGAAGAAGCAAGGGTACACAAGCAATCGTAATAGAAATTCCCATTACGAATACATCGTTTCCCGTTTAAGAGGGTTTAGACTGGGTGCCGCTGACTGAATCAAACGTGTGAGGCTCTTTGTGGGCTTTGCCTTGTGTGGCGTTGGCGAAGGTGCGCGTTTTAGCCACGGAGACTTCAGATGCGCGTGGGAGGAGACCTATGTTTTGATTTGCTGCGTCTGCAGAGCTGTCAATATGGACAGCTATTGGTTGATGATACGACGCATCTCCATCGTGTACAATGCGTAACGTTACTTAAGACACGTCGCCGTTTCTCTGTCAAATCCAACGGTGACCTAAGATTCTCTGTTTTCTTTTACTTTCTTTTTTTTCCATTTTTTTTTGACTTTTTTTTAGGGCAAATTACACAAATCGCCCCTCAAATTTTCATTTAGTTCATCCAGATAAAAGATGGCACCATATATTAGTCAAGTACCCCTGTATTCTTATTGACCTTGCACACAACTTCCATTGTTGAGTTGGGCTGTCGGGGTAAGAAAAGTTTTGGACAAACATAACCTTCTTGTTGTAAGAAGACGAAATTGTCCATTTATGTCAACTTAAATTACGTCTTTACCTAAACAAAAATACCCTTTTCCATTGACCCGCTTACATTACAAGACATATATTTGCTCACTGTTATACTCCGTATATGCTTCTTCTCTCTCTATTTTATGAACTTCTCTATCTACTTTGTTCATCAAGTGGGTCTTTGACTCTTTGAAGAAAAGAAGCAAATGGATTGAGTAGAGAGAAGCAGTTCATCAAGTGGGTCTTTGAAGAAAAGAAGCAAATGGATTGAGTAGAGAGAAGCCATGAATACTCCTCAAGGAGAAGTTTGTGTCGCCAATATCAAGGGCTGGACTTTTTCCCTCAAGTCAATGCTTTGTAAATTCCGGTTGAAGCTGTTTTGGGTTTTCATGAATTTTTCTATTTCTCTGTCAACTCATTTTTTACTATGTTGCTAAATAATTACTACAAATCGTTGCCCATGAGACCGAGATTAATTGTGCCGCCGCCGACAGACACATGCTCTAATAATTACTGCAAATCGTTGCCCATAAGACCCAGATTAATTGCGCAATCCTCGTCGTCTCCGGCGTCGACAGACCCATGCTCCAGACTAAAGAACGCATCCTTTCAGATAAGAAGACGCGAGGTGCCATGACGATAGGAAGACACAGGAGGTTAATGAGGATTATGATTGGGATTGATATGAACCTCTCGGCATTTCAGATAGCAGAGCAACGATGGCTGTTGGTAGCTTATTCACAAACCCAACCCCTCACTCACCAGAGAGTTTGATGGTCTTTTACTCTGTCCATAGGGAAGATACATACATATAGATATATATGCGTATATGCGTATATGATTGTGTCTGTCTGTTATGTATAATGTATATATATATGCACACACCTGTATAGACGAGAGGGAAGAAAGAGAAATGAGTCCCAACTCGATTGTTGGAGGAGGGGCAAAATTGTAACTTAACAATATACGAATTCATCCTCACTTTTTGTAAGGGGAAGCGCAAAAAACACCCCTCTAGCTTGAAAAAGTTACAAATAACACCACTGCAGTTCAAAATTGATCCCTCGAATTTTAAAAAGTTACAAATAGGGGTTTTTTGTCAAGGGGTGGGTAAAAATACGAAAATACCCCCAATAATCTTTATTCAATAATAATAAAAAAATTTAAAAAGTTGAAATGACCTAAATAGACATTGAACAAAACGACGTCGTTTTGGATAATGAAACATAACATACTCAAAACTACGTCGTTTGGGCTAAATACACTAAATTAGGGTTATTCAACCCAAGCCACACCATCAGTCACCTCTATTGTCAATCACACACGCACAGCCCCTCATAAACACAGACACTAAAGACGAAGCAACACAGTCATTTTCGTGGCTTGATTGTGGACGATCTGTAATTTCTGGCTATTAGGGTTTAAGATCAAAGACGAAATGCTACCATTGAAAGGAAAAAAAGCGTTTATGAGGTTAGGGTTTTTATGTTTTCACGTTTCTGATTTCTTTAATGATGATAAAAGTTAGGGTATTTATGTTATAACGTTTGTATTTGTGTGATTCAATAGTTTCTGTAATGTTATTGTTATTTTTCTGTTCGTTTTATTCGAATCTGTGTGGTCCCCTTTAGTGTTTTGCGTCGATTGTCAACGAATTTGGGTTCCACATGTCTCAATTTGCTTCGATTATAGTTAAATAGCTTCCACTTTGTCTTCTTCATGTTTATTGCATTGTATTGTATAATTGTTTTATAAAAATAGGGTTACGGTTTGAGATAAAAATGAGGGCCTTTTGCCTCTTCTTTTTTTTCTGGTTTTGGGCTCCACATGTCTAACAAAGTGTTAAACTGCCTTGAACTTGTAATTTTTTATTTTTTATATTTTTTTTTGGCATTTGAGATTGGTTCTATTAATGTTTTTACAGTGATATTAGTCTGCATATGCATGTAATATATTGGGTATCTTTTTGTCCTTACAATGCATGTAAATAATTTGTCTGTACATGCATGTAAATAATTTGTTTGCACATGCATGTAAATAATTTGTCTGCATATGCATGTAATTTGATGTTAGTCTGCACATGCATGTAATTTGATGTTAATTAGTATTATTTGTTTAAATTTTTGTAGGTGTTGTTCATAATGTCTAAAAAGTATACAATTGAGATACATTATGATGGAAAATTTGATAAGGACCACTATTACTATATTGGGAGGAAAGTTGATGAATTTGATAATTGTGATCCTAATTGCATGTCATATTTTGAAATTGAAGATATGTTGACACTACTGAACTTAGATCCCAAAAGTGAAGTCCATTATAGAGACCTTAGTAATGGAAATCATGTGCTAATAGTCTCTGATAATGGTCTATTGAATATGTTTGCAATGTACAAGAATTTTTCATTGGTGAAGGTACTAGTAGTTGCACCTGCACCTGCACTTATACCTGCACTTGAGACTGCACCTGCACCTGCACCTGAAACTACAGCTGCACCTCATTCTCCTTCCCACTCATCTTCCCATGCCTCTTCCCAATCCTCTTCCCATTCAGAAGACTTAGATGGTCATATTGAAGCTTTATGGGGCCAAGTAGAAGACTTAGATGGAGATTCTGTATATGTACCAAGTGATGAGTTATGGAATGTTCATAGCTCATTAGATGAGGAAGTTGATAGTAACATTAGGGCTACTGAATATGTTGTTGAGAGGGATTTAGGCATTAAATCCTTAAAAATTGGGATGAAGTTTGCATATGCAGATGATTTTAGGGCAGCATTAAGGGACCATGCTATAAAACACAAGTATGATTTCAGGCTTAAGAAAAATGAGAAAAATAGGAATACTGTTGTATGCATTAGTAAATGTGGTTGGAGGATTCATACCTCAAAGAATAGCAGTGATAATAGCTTTCAAATCAAGACATATAGAAGTATACACCGCTGTATTCCACCTGAAACAAATAGACAAACAACATCTAGGTACATAGCCAAGCACTTCATAAACCAATTCAGAGTGGACCCAACTTGGAAGAATTATGGTTTAAGTGGCTTGATTGAAAAGGATTTTGAGATACAAGTTTCCAGATTCAAGGTAAGCAGAGCTAAGGCAAAAGCCTTAGAAATGATTGAAGGTAATTTTGAAGAGCAGTTTATGAAAATTAGAGAGTACTGTGAGCTTGTTATGCAGAAAAATCCTGGCAGTGTATGCAAAATGAAAACTGAAATTGACAAGGAGGGTAAAGAAAGGTTTTTGAGGGTTTTTAATTGTCTAGAAGCAATGTGGAGTGGCTTCAAAGCAGGCTGCAGGTCATTTGTAGGGCTAGATGGTTGTTTTTTGAAAGGGCCATATGGAGGACAGTTGTTAAGTGTTGTTGGTAGGGACCCAAATGATAGTTATTACCCAATTGCTTTTGCAGTGGTGGAGGTTGAGTTAAAAGCCACTTGGCAGTGGTTTATTAATGAGTTGATGGCAATCATTGGTCCCCCTTATCAGTTAACTTTTATCTCTGACAGACAAAAGGGATTGGTTGATGTGTTGGTCAGGTTGTGTGAGAATACTGACCATTGGTTTTGTGCTAGACATATGTATGAAAATTTTAGGAAGAAATTTCCATATCTCAGATTGAAAACTGAATTCTTGAATACTTCTAATGCATTTACACTTGAGGTGTTCAAGAATCACATGACAAACATTAAGAATATGAACAATGATGCTTTTAAGTGGCTGAACAGAATCCCTCACCATTTATGGTCCAAGTGTGGCTTTATAGTGGACTCAAAGTGTGATTTAAATAGTAATAACATGTGTGAGTCTTGGAATAGGCAAATTCTAGAGGCCAGGATCAAACCATTGATTTACATGTCTGAAATGATAAGGAGGTGCTTATTAAAAATGTGTAATAATAAGAGAGAATACATGGAAGGCCAACATGGTCTTTTATGTCCAAAGGTGCAGGATGAAGTAGATAAACCGAGGCTAAAATCTAGAAAATGTCACACGCAGCCTATAGGACCACGATTATATGAGGTTGACAGTAATGGAGAGAAGATGCAGTTGATATGGCAAACAGAAAATGCAGTTGTAGGGTTTGGGAGGTCACTGGTATACCTTGTATACATGCAACAGCTGTTATCAATTCTAGGAGAGGCAATATTGAAGACTATGTGAGTCATTACTACCATAGGGAGACACACCTTAACATATATGCACACATTGTGAAGCCACTTTGTTTGAGAAAAATTCTGAACATTGAAGGATATCCTTAAATACTCCCACCATTGAGAGAAAAACAAAAAATGGGAAGGCCAACAAAGCAAAGAATAAAGAGTGCTGAAGAACTGAGAGATATCAAAGCTAAAAAGGCTGGTTCTAGGAAATGTAACTTTCAAGTGAGGTGTGGAAAGTGTAAGATGGAAGGGCACAATGTTAGAAGCTGCAAGAACGATGCAACACCTCCTAAACCACCAAGAGGCAAAGGTGGAAGGCTTCATTTGAAAAGAACTGGGTTATTTGTAGGAGAAAGTAGCAGTGG